TCAAATTTTTCTTTTAACTGAGTTACATATTCGTTCATGCTCTCGAACGTAGCCACCAAATTGTGTAAATCGATATTCACACTTTGAACAATTTTAGTACTTTTGTCAAAGGAGGATAAAACGTCACTCCAAAAAATTGTCATAAAAGCAATTTCAAGCGTACATAGCTGTTTGTGTAAACCGGCAGCTTTTGCTTTAACTACTGTTAAAAATTCACTATCGTTGGAAATTTTTTCTGCAACAGTTTTAACCCCTTGGCAGTCGATGACGTGTATACACGTCATGATGCAGGTGGGCTCAAACTGTCGATGACGTGTATAGACGCAAGCAGATTTTTGGCTACAAAAACACACAGATTTGTCCACAAATTTATACTCGGGGGTTTTCGGGGTCGCTGATTACGAATCCATTTTCAGATTTGAAAAATTCAAAATGGCGGATCCAATATGGCGCACATTTTCAAAAACTCGTCCGATTAATTTAAAACTCGTTACTCGGGGGTTTTCGGGGTCGCTTATTACAAATCTGATATCAGATTTTAAAAATTCTAAATGGCGGATCCAATATGGCGGACATTTTCTGAAATTCATCGGATTCACTTGAAACATTCTACTCGGGGGTTTTCAGGGTCGCTGATTACGAATCCGATTTCAGATTTAAAAAATTCAAAATGGCGGATCCAATATAGCGGACGACAATTTACAAACTCGTCCGATTCATTTAAAACTTGTTACTCGGCGGTTTTCGGGGTCGCTGATTACGAATCTAGCATAAGATTTTTAAAATACAATGTGGCGTTTCGAATATGGCTGACGCCATTTTAAAAAATTTATCAAATTAATCCGATAAATTTTAGAAAATTTCATTCGTCATATTGAATCCGCTATTTTGAATTTTTAAAATCTCAAATCGGATTCGTAAATCAGCGACCCCGAAAACCCCCAGGTAAAAAGTTTCAAGTGAATCCGATGAATTTTAGAAAATGTTGTCCGCCATATTGGAACCACCATTTTGAATTTTCAAAATCTGATATCGAATTCGTAATCAGCGACTCCGAAAACCCCTGAGTAACAAGTTTCAAATGAATTCAGTCGATTTTTAATTTTCATGTCCGCCATATTGGATTCGCCATTTTGAATTTTCAAAATCTGATATCGGATTCGTAATCAGCGACTTCAAATACAATAGTATGCTCGTTTGCGCAAATTTTAGTTTTCTAAAAATTTGTCGACATTTTCAGCCCACTTATGAGATTTTGGTCTTGACTGCGAAGGGGTTAAAGCATTGATAACCTAATGTTAAAGCTTTACACGCATCTGCTCTCGCAGACCAACGTGTATCAGATAAACTTTTTGGTACAAGACATCCGATGCTTTCTAATTCTGCTTTAAATAGACTCCATCTCTTTGTTGAAGAAGAAAAAAAGTTATATATTTCTCGCACAAGAAAAAAAAAGTTGTAGCATTTAAACAGCAGTCGGCAGCGGAATTTTCAACTAAATTAAAAGAATTACCACCACATGGTGCAAAGAGAGCAAACTCATTTCTTTCTCGAATTTTAGCCTGTAAACCATTGTAAGTTCCTGACATATTTTGAGCATTATCATATGATTGCCCTCTACAATTGGGAATGTCTAAATTTAAATCGTCGAGAATATTTAAAATTGCAATCTCCATTTCAGTGGCTTTATGACCAACGTTCAAAAAAAATCCGATGAATCGTTCGACAATGTTGCCTTCGTTAACGTATCTTAGTATAAAAGTCAACTGATCTGATTTCGATGCGTCGGCAGTAGAATCTACACTCATTGAAAAATACTTACTGCGCTGAGCTTCAATAACAATTGTTTCTTTCACCTAAAAATATTTAATAATTGATATTTAAAAATAAAATCGTAATTAAAAATTGTTAAAATTACCTTTACTTTACAAAAAATATTTTCAAAAATACTTATTTGGAAACAGCTGTTCAAAAAAAAGCTTTTAAAAAATATTACCTTTGACGATAAAAGCTTTAACAATTCATTAACTGTGGTTTTTGATAAATAAGAAGCTTTTCCACCGCTGCCCGAGTTTCCATAATTTTCTATATGTTGTTTTAGAAATGGGTCGAATTCAGCTAAAAGTTCTAATAATCCTAAAAAGTTTCCATTCGTAGAAGATCTGAACACTTCGTTAGAACCACGAAATGACAAGTTGCGGATAGCGATGAACTTTATTACACTAATTAATCTTTTTAGTACCTCTGCCTAATATTGTTTTTCTGATAACTCTAATTCTTGTAATTGTTTATCAATTCTGCTTTGTGTTTGCGAACGATCATTAAACGATTGCACTGCAAGTGCATGATCCAAGGATTTTTCATGGTTTTGTAAATAAATTAAATGTTTCCAGTCATTAAATCCTTCGGTGTGCTCGCTATTTTTCGATGAAAATAATTTACATGGTATGCAGTATACTCGATTTGTAATTTCTGAATAAAAAAGCCATTTACGTCTTACTTTGTTGCCGTTAGGGAGAATTGTATAAAACATGTTTTTATTTGCAAAACGTCGAATATTTTTACTAATTGTGCCACCGTCATATTCGCGAACAGAATCAGAAAGATCCAAATTTTCCTCATTTTGAGGCTCAAAATTTTTTACCACAAAATCAATGTTTCGTTCATCAAGAAGCCAAAATTTAGGATCAGTTTTAAAATTAAAATCTAAACTTTCAAAGCACACTGTTTCAGTGGATTTTACTATAGTTCCAATATTGTTGTCAACGCCACTATTATTCGCGACAGATTCATTTTCTGATATAGGCATGCTTGTTGAACAAGATTCATTTTTGATTTTTTCACAAATATTGGGTAGCTGCAAACTTTCATTTTGTACATTCTGAATAGAGTTTTTAAAATATGTTGTCAATTTTGGAACCTTGGCTAGAAACACTTCTTGTTTTAAATCCTTTTCTTTCGCATTTTTTCTTTTTTCAGAACCACTTTCATAAATTCGCTTGGACATGATTAGAAAAAATCAATGAATACGATTGACTTCACAATAAAAACATTTAAACATATATGTTCTATACACAAATACAGTTAACAAAACACTTGCAATTTATTTACCAGTTAAATCTAAATCCTGTAAATGTTTTGTTTACAAATACGCAAAAAACAACGTCTGACTGTATTGTGAACAATTAGTGATATAAAGAGTCGCAACCCTAGAAAAAAGTGATGCAGGCGGGCAGGCAGGCATGAGTAACATACCGTCAATTGTTTGAAATCGGACAATTTTCCAAAAATTGTCGAACTGCAAATCAATTACAATCTATATTACATATAGAAACTGACTTACTATTATAGAGCATTTACACATATACACATCTTGTGACAAGAAGACCTCTTAAAAATCGGGGGCCCCTGACGACCGGGGGCCCCAGGGCACTTGCCCTTTTTGCCCTACAGCAAATCCGGCCCTGAGTACTGCACATAATTTGTTTATAAAATATGTAATTTAGTTACTATAGTTAAATAACAATACACTGAAAAAAATATATTTATGATACTGTCATAAATATGGCCAATACTCACATATTATATTGGTGGATATGAGACAGCCATGCAGTATTGCTGTTTCAGTTATATGCAGTGTAGAACAGGCATATAAGTATGTGAGAGACAGTAATATGTCTGTGAAGAACACCAAAACTGTATTTGAAGAACAGAAATACAGTATTGCTATTTCAGCTATACGTCCTTACTATACTCGTATGACAAAATCGACAATATCATTTTTTTCAGTGTATCCATAAGAAATCGTCAACAAATTAAACATAGGTACCCGGGTGCCTCGTCTGTCCATAGAAGGTGTTTCTTTCCTCAGTCCCATAAAGGTTAAGAATTTAATTCATACTTAAACTGATTTACAAAAAGTTCTTTTAATAACTGAAATTAAAATGATAGAAAAACAAATTATCAGGACTGTCTGAATAATACTTTTTATACTACTGATACATACAATGCACACGTAGAAATTCGAGATTTTACATAGAAGAAGAATTTCAAAAAGTTGAAAAAATGTCTGACTAAAAATTAATTTTACTACTTGTTATTGACCGGGATAAATAATGTACTGCGTTATTAAACGTTCAACTCAAAACTTGTTTATTTATTTATCGGAAATGTAGAATTAACAAATATTAATTTTGATGAAATAACAATTATCATTTAAGACATTTAATATTTATAATAAACGATTTTTTTAAATTCATTTGATTAATAATTAACGATTAACTCTTTATACATAATTATAATATTTACATGGGAGTAAGAGAGAGAGAAAGAGAGTGCATGCCAAACTTCCTATATTATAAACGCTCACCTGGTCACCCATTCAAGTCGGGTTTCCTTCGTAGTCACCCTTTACTTCGGGTATTCAGAACAGCTCTCCCTAATTTGCTTGGTCCAAAAAGGTCTCCTTCGAGTCACCTTTATCAGGAAGGTTTTCTTCAGGTCACCCTCTAATCGTCTTACAGTCACTTGTTTTAGTCCTACTCGCTTCGCAGACATGCGGTCACTGACCTCCGAAAATTTTCCTTCTCCCCACTACCTTTTTCGTCGCAACTTTCCCACTCTCCACTCTCTCTTTTTTTCTCTTCGTCGTTAACAACCTTCCCTCTCGGTAGGAGAAAGTAGTGTTTCCGTACCTGGCGATGTCGGTACCAGTACAATGATCTTATTTGCTGCCCTTTTTAGAATTTTTCCTCTGGTGAAAACGTCGACCACTCGTATGCGTCCATCTTTTCCTGGATAAGTGGTTACTATCCTTCCTTTGGGCCATACGTTCCTTGTCATATTAGGATCCACAATAAGAACGATGTCTTTTGTCATTAGTTTTCGAACCTCCCGATTCCAGCATTTTCTAACCACCATATGTGGCAAATATTCCTTTAGCCATCTTCCCCAAAACATGTCGGCCAATCCTTGGGTAACCCTCCAATTTTTTCGTAGATTCAGATCTTCTGAACTGAATTCACCCCATTTCCTATTAAGAAGTGGTTCGGAGTGAGTGATTCCTGATCTCGGTGATCAACAGAGACATGGGTTAGTGGTCTGCTATTCACAGTGTGCTTCACTTCTGTGAGTAGGGTCTTTAAAACTTCTTCCTTTGGTGCTTTTTCGTTTAAGGTTGTGGATAATGCTCTCTTTACACTCCTAACAAGTCTCTCCCAGCTACCACCCATATGTGGTGCACTTGGCGGGATGAATCGCCATGTTATTCTTAAATTAGTTAAGTGATTTTTATATTTCTCGAGATCTATGTCTTTAATAGCATTTTTTAATTCCTTGTTTGTTCCGGTAAAATTAGTACCGTTGTCTGAATGTATTTCAGACGGAGTTCCCCGCCGGTTACTCATCCTCTGAAGAGCCATAATCGCTGAGTCAGTGGACAAAGAGGATGCCAGTTCCAGATGTACTGCTCGAGTGGTCAAGCATGTGAAGAGAACTTCCCAGTGCTTCTCACGTCTTCGTCCAATAGTCACCTGCATCGGTCCAAAATAATCAACCCCACAGTAGGTAAAGGACCGTTGATGGTGTCCAAGCCTTGCTTCTGGCATATCACCCGTTCGGGGTTGTTCCGCAATTGCATATTTTAAACGACAAAATTTACAGCATGAAACTACAGATTTTACTGTCGGGCGTATTTTTATGATCCAATACTTCTGCCGTAATTCATTCACTACAGTTTCCGTAGATCCATGGTGAAAACGCTCATGATAATATTGAACCAATAGCCGAGTTAAATGATGTTTTCCGTCCAGTATTATTGGTGCTTTTACCGTATCCGGAGTATTTTTGCTTGCCTTTATACGACTATCTACCTTTAAGATCCCATCTACAGCGATTAGATAAGTGAGTCCTTTTATTCGACTTCCCTTAGGGGTTGGTTTTTTCTCCATTATAGATTGGATTTCATCTCGGAAATCTTCTAATTGTACCTTTATTAAAACATCTTCTTCGGCTTTGTCCAAGTACTCGGCGGTTAATGTTTTAGATTCTTCATCTTTGCATATTCTCACTGCAGATAACAGTAACGCCGTGCTTCGAATTAAACATAACCACTTACTGAAATTAGTGATTTTTGGACTTTCTAATATTATATTCACGTAAATTGCCGCTGAAAATTCTTTCTTTCTTTGAGTAGTTGGTTCCACGGAGCGACCTTTCCATGTTTGCTCCGGCTATTCTGCTTTTGGTCTACTTAGAAATTCTGGTCCTTGTAACCACTTGTCCATACAACTTTTTATTGTTCCTACGACTTTAGTAGCACAGTCTGCAGAATTTAACTTGCTGGGAGTCCATCGCCATTCCTCCACATTGCTTAACTCGTCTATTTTACCGAGGCGATGTGAAACGAACGTTTAATACTTTCGAGAATCAGAGAGTATCCAACCCAACACAGTGCGCGAGTCGGTCCAGAAGAATAGCCTGTTTAATTTTAGTTCGAGTTCCTTCGAGATTGTGTCTTCTAAGCGGGTAGCCAGCAGCGCTCCCTGTAGCTCCATACGTGGAGTTGATACTGGCTTCAATGGAGCGACCCTCGCCTTTCCAGCAATGAAAGGAATCTGAATTTTGTTCTCTTTATCTTGACTTCGAAGATATGCTACTGCCGAATATGCCTTATCGCTGGCATCACAGAAGATATGAAGCTCTAAATCATCAGGCACAATCGCTGATCCACAATATGCTCGAGGTATTTGATAGCTTTTTATTTTGCCTAGGTCAGAGATCCATTCTTTCCATAGAATAAAGTCTCGAGTTTTTAGGTTTTCGTCCCATGTAATTCCGCTACGCCAAATTTCTTGCAGCGATATTTTGTTGCGAATGGTGTAAGGTATTAGTAATCCTAGGGGGTCAAACATAGACATAACTATGCTCAATACTTCTCGTTTAGATGGTATGCGCTGTCCTTGTATGAGATCTGTTGGTATTTTTTTAAAGTTTAAATCGAAGGATATTGTATCTATTATGGGATTCCACTTTAAACCTAGAGTCTTTTCAACTGGTGCCTGTCCCACCGTAAGATCGATGTTCTCGGTGTTCTGTGCTGAGTTCGGTAACTCCTTTAATAATTTTGTCTCATTACTTGACCAATTTCTTATTTCAAATCCCCCTTTTTTGTGAATATGTACTACAGCTTTAACTATATCGATTGCTTCTTCGATGCTGTCAAAACTATCAAGGTAATCATCGACATAATGCTTCCTATTTATTGAGTTAACAGCTTTCGGGTAGAGGGGCTCAAATGTTGCTGCGTTCTTACGCATTACGTATTGAGCGGTGTAGGGTGATAAGGCCGCACCAAAAAGCATTGATGTCATCACATATGTATTAGGTTGTTGGTCACGATTAGTTTCTCGCCAAAGAAACATCTGTGCAGGTTGATCTTGTTCTCTGATCTTAATTTGTAAGAACATCTCGCGTTTATCTCCTTTTGTTGCGACCTTCCTTTGCCTAAATCGAAGCAGCACACCGAATAATGAGTTGATCAAATCTGGACCGGTCAGTAAATTATCTTTTAAACTAAGTCCATTAGTTTTTTGCAGCTCCGTCAAAAACAAGTCGTAATTTCTTAGATTTTTCTGGATTCTCAACACCAAAATGAGGAAGATACCATAAATTCCAACAGTCATTAATTGGTTCAGTTATTTTCTTTGCATAACCTGATGCTATTAAATGGTCCACTTGGGCACAATATCTCTTTGAGTAGTCATCGTCTTTATCCATTTTACGTTCAACTGATTTCAGTCGGGTGAATGCGTTTTCTCGGATATTGGGGAAATTTACGTGTTCCTTTTCCCACAGCAATCCTACCTCCCAATGATTTCTTAAGTGCACCGCTGTTGAATCAAGAATACTCTCTGCTTTTTTTTCTAATTTGTTTTTTCTATTAAGGTTATACTTACACCTAAACTTTCGAATGTAAAATGAAATTTAACCAAGTTAGCTAATTATGTATTCGATATGTAGTCGCGCTGTCGATACAAAGAGCTCGTTCTTATGATTGTCCTATTTGAGTATTTAGTAGTTGTCCATGTATCACCCATCCCAGACGAGTAAGTGATGCTGCTGGTTGATTCTTTGTAGTATGTCGTATTTGAGTTGCCGTTATTAAACTCCAGTTATCCTGTCCAATGAGTATGGGTGGTTTTGCTCGTTCGTAATATTCTATTGGCAGGTGTAATAGGTGTTTATATCTTTTAATTTCTTCCTCACGTATCGTTTGTGAAAATAAATTCAAACTCTTCATGGTTCTAGCCGCAGAAATTTTGCATATGATATTATTGTCAAGAGCACTTATACCGAAATCCACAATTTGACTGTTAGAATCAAATGTCCCAATACTGCTGATACCAGTCAACTCTAATGGCTTGTAGAAACCTTTTATCTCTAGAGATCCCGCTAATTCAGAATCAATCAAGGTTATGGTAGATCCTTCGTCCATAAATGCAAATACAATAATATTCGCATTTGGCCCATGGACTCTAATTGGGATGACTTTCAATAGTGTAGAGTTATTTTCTCCTAGTCACAACTCTTTTCGATCAGAGTCACTGGTTCCCCTTCGTGATCCTGTCTTCTTCCTTGATGACGATGGTCGCAGTTCCGATTCTCGTATTCGGTGTCGATGTAACAAGGTGTGGTGGTTCTTTAGGTAATTTTTTACATTACATCCTGGTTCTAAACAGCGATTCTGTTGATGTGACGAGTCTTTCAAGCATTTAAAACAAAGTTTGTTATTTCTCGCCCAGTTCCATCTATCAGTAATGGTTAATTTTGCGAAATGATCGCAATTCGTCATAAGTCACTACATGTGCTCGTTCCCTTTATTGCACCGATCTTTTCAGACCTCGATTTTTAGTGTCACGTTCCTCTTCTCTGACTATTCCCTTACGTTTTCCTTGAATATTAAGGTTTGTTTCGAAAGTTCCCGCTCGACATGCAATTTCAGCCTCGAAAAACAACAATTTTGACAGGGTTACAAGAATTGGTTCGTTAAGTTCGCGATTCTCATGTAAATAGCGGTTATAATTATAAATTATAGCATAAGGCATTTTTCGGGTTATTTCTTTTGTTAAATCATGACTATGGAGATATCCCGTATGGTTTGCAACTTCCAATGCTGCGACACAATTTCTGATTTTCGTAGAAAATGTGAGACGCATCAGATTTTCTTCTTCAGTATACTCTGCTCTCCTTGATGTTTCTTCAAAGGCACGCTTAAATCAAGGCTATTCCAATACATCGCCTTCAAAAGTAGGTAGATTTCTTCCGACAGTTGCTCTTTGTAATAATCGACGAGTTAATTTATGCTCTTCTTGTGCTGATGTTCCCTGTGCTAACGTTCCCTGTTCTGGCATATTCTGTTCTTTTGTTGTCATCATGCTTCGATCTATGTTTTCTCGATGTAGAGTTCTTTCAGACGCTCCCTTGTTTACCCAACGTTGGATTTCGCGCATATTTTGTGCTTCTCGTTCTATTCGAGCAGCGGATCGTTCACTTATTACTGTTTGAAAGTCTTCATCTCGTGTATCAACAGCTGACAATTCTGCTTCTAATTGACGGTCAACTAGCTCCATTTCTAACCGCGCTTTTTTTCTAATAAACGGGCTCGAATTTCATATCGTTTTCTTCAGCATGTAATTCTATTTCGGCTCATCTTGCTGATAAACTGCGGCTTGTGGCAAATGAAAGGCTTCTATAACTCTCATTACGTTCTACTATCATTGGTTCAGTATTTGTGTCACCGGTGCTAAATTCACTATTCGCGACTCGAGGTACGTTAACGTTTTGGCCCTCTGGCCGACCTCGACCTCAACCCATTCTCATATCCACCTACCGGTCACCTCCATACAAATTTGACATAGTGCGCTCCGAAGAACCTCGATTACTACCGCCCCTCGATCCCGACATTTCCTGCATCGAAATATCCGTGATTATTACTTATCTGTACTATCCCGTAAATAGGCGAACGCGCAAACAATAAACCGACGCCTCCCGTTCATATAATGCTTATTGAAAAGCGAATGCAAGATGATTCTTACTCACTTTTTGGTGCAAGATAATGCTTATTCGATTTTCCGTGCAATAAAATGCTTATTCAAAATTGTGTGCAAAACAATTGCCACTGACAGATCAATAAATGTAACCCTAAATTTCCCTATTAATATTAAATTGCAATTAAATATCAGGAAGGCTCCTTTAGGTCACCTTTATCAGGAAGGTTTTCTTCAGGTCACCCTCTAATCGTCTTACAGTCACTTGTATTAGTCCTACTCGCTTCGCAGACATGCGGTCACTGACGAAAATTTCCTTCTCCTCACTACCTTTTTCGTCGCAACTTTCCCACTCTCTCTCTTTTTCTCTTCGTCGTTAACACTACTGATGACATAAAACAAATAATCAATTTATTTAAAATTCTCTTTCATGAGTGAAATTACTTTTTTTTACTCTAAACCTGGGGATCAATAAGTTATTTGATTTCTACTTTCACATTCCTTTTCACTTTCACTTTAATAAATATTTATTTTCAGATTGACTTTTAATTTGAAAGATTTTGTTTTCACTTTCACTTAGAAAGATTTTTATTTTTCCTTTAACTCTTTTACTCTTTAACTTTAATTTTTATTGGAATTTATTTTCTCTGACATTTTATTTTCACCATCAATTTTACTCTCATTTTCATTAAAATTTTTTTTTATTTTGGTAGACTTTTATTCTTACTTTTAATTTAATTTTCATTTTGATAGAATTTTATTTAGACTTTCATTTTCAATTTTATTTGGATCGAATTTTATTTATTATTTTTCCTTTTTCACATCCACTTTCACCTTGCAGTATTTAATTTTCATCATTCACTTTAATAAAAAATAAAATTCTTTTAAGTAAAAGTAGCAGTAGAAAAATAAAAAATAAAATATCTATCAAAGTAAAAATGAAAGTGAAAATTAAGTCTTTTAAAGTGGAGATTAAAGTTTTTTTTCTTTTACTACTGAACGTAATAAAATTATTTAATTACTTGAAGTAGTGCAGGTGAGCCTTAGTTAAACAGAATTGGAGTCTTTTTATTTTTAAGTATTATTAGTAGATACCTATGTAGTTTTATTTTAAATTTTAAACATTAAATTTAAACAAGTCTGGCTTAAACATACTTTGACTACTTAAACACAAATACGAAATATAAATTACAAATTTCAAGAATTTCTATCTGACATAAAAGTTAGCTTTACTGCTAAAAATAAATTTTTGAAATGCTCAAATGTGCTAGAGTAAAATTTACCTCCTTATGAAAGTAATAAACTAAAAATTTTAATACTGCTCAGGCTTAAATTTATTTTTGCTACTTAAGTAATTATCAGCAACATAAATATAAAATTCCCAGCACTTCTGTCTTACTTAAAAATTACTTTTAATACTGAAAATAAAATAGCAAACGTTTAAACTTTTCTGACAGGTAACTCACAATTTGCTCTTATTACTTACAATGAAAAAAGTTTTCTTCCATTTAAATTTTAAAGACCTGAAGAACATTTACTGTAAATATTGATTTTACATTATATTTTTAGTTATTTTACAGTTTTTTACTGCTTTTTCGAATAATTTAAAAAATTTGTTTTGCTAAGAGGAAAATCCCTAAGACCTTAAAAATTCCGCTTGGAACTTCGAGCAAAAGAAATACCACTTCTTGTTTATAGTTCAATTCTCAGAGTAAGAAAATTACAGTCATAAAGAATTTTTATTCTTTATGTGTGAAATTTTTTTTACATACCTTCTGCAAGTCAAGTTTTAACGATACATAATTGATCGTCTCGAATAATATAGTTCTTTATTTTTTTTCCTTCAACATTAAAGGTACTTTTAAGTTCCCTCCACAAAGAAGTCTGTGGCTGAAGCCGAAGTAAATGCTTGTAAGATTTATGAATCAAAATACGAGTTTCGAATTCATTATATGGGCGCATGCGCTGTCTCTCTCTTTCCTTCCCTCAACCAACCCTTTTGTACACTTGGCACTGCATTCGCTCGAATTTTCAATCAGTCGGAAAATTTAAATTAAATTTGTCTACATTAATTTCAACTTGGTTTTGAGAATAACGTTAAAATTAGTGTTTCAAAGTCTCATAAACCTGTTGATATATTAATTGTATGATGATTGTACATTCTTTAGAAAAAAAATATCACAATAACTCTTCATTTTTGTCAAAAAATTTAAATTTACCATCTTTTGAAATTTATTTTCATGTTTAATTATTTTATTTATTTTTCCTCTTGATTGTTTTTACTTTTTTATTTTTAGATAATTTTAAAATAAATTAATTAATTTGAACTACATTTTACAATTATTTTAATTTTATTTACATTTTATATTATTTTAATTACTTTAAGTTTTCTTCCTCATAAAAAAAGGATTGTATTTTAT